ATTATGTCGTCGTTGTCGCGCGTAAGTATGTGGCGGCTTTTTTTTTTCCTCTTTGGAAATTTAACGCGTCGGCCGGTGGGTGAGAGCCGATTCCGGGGAAATTGGGGGAGCCCGGCTACCCTCGGGGTCGGGGCAATTTAAAATCGGTCCGGGGGAGTGGCACGAGCCGGGGCGATATTGCCGGCGCGCCCGGAGATTACGCGCGAGCGATGGGACATTTATTTAATCAGTGTAAAGGATTATCACTTGCCCCCCTTTCACGAGGGGGGGGGGACAAACAACTTTTACGGCCTCGCTCGGCTTGTTTTTCCTTTTTTAACGTTGCGGGATTATCTTAGCAACACGCGTACACAAACTTTTGGGACTTTCTTCGCAAAAAAAAGGAAAAAAAAAAAAAAAAAAAATAGAAATACACCTTCGTCCCGTCATATATACGTCCGATGAAGCGACGTGTATTATATACGTTGCGCATCGATTAAACGTCGAGCTTGATGAAATTCGTGCCTCGTGAAAAAGGAGAAAAAAGCAGACGAGGGTAATGGAAAGAAAGAGCTGGAGAGTTTGCGAGAAATAAGTCGGGGCTGGTGTGTTTTTCTTTTTGTTAGGAACGGGAGGACGTGACGTTTGAGGGGGCCAAGCTGTACATGCACACCCGCAACACGTGTAATACCGTATACTGTTGTGTATACATGTACGAGAAGTTATTATTTTCGGCAAGTGAGCAGCAACGACAGGGAGGAGGGAGGGTGGCTCCGTGTCGTTCCACGTGATTGCGCCCATCCCGAGCGTATGTGAACTTTACAAGAGAGAGAGAGAGAGAGAGAGAGAGACAAGTTATAACACAGGAAAAGCCACCCCCTTTGAAACGCTACTGCACCGATGGTGGTACCTTTCTTCTTCTTTTTTTTTTTAGCCCAAAAAACGCTAGTTTCCAAGTAGAAACGCGTAATCGCTCGTTAGCGCGAGGGTGTACGAATATATATGTATATACGTATACATAAGGGCCAGTGCCGGCTCGCGCGATTTCCGTATTTCTTAATTAAAGCCCGAGAAAGAGCGGGGTAATTAAAGGAGCTGCGGAAAGAGAGAGTGGGGGAGGGGTTTCAAGGAATAAGAACTATCGCAGCCGGAAGCGCCGGTCTTCAAAGAAAGAAGAGCATATAACAGCGGCGCGAGGGCCTCTGGCTCCGAATTCGTTTACTTTCTATTACTTTGTTTTATCGGGGAACGAGATCATTACACCCCCCCGGCTGCCCGATCTGCCGTGTGTAGTGTGTATACATTAGACGGCGAGAAGCACTTGCGCGCTTTGGCACCTCTCGGCTGCAGGCCGTCCCTCCTGAGATTCTCTTTTTCTCTCCAGCGACAATAATTTCACTTAATTAAATTCCGTTCCCTCCACCTCCTCCTTGCCCTCTTTCGTCCTTATTCTTGTCCCTGCTCGCTTTCTTTTCTCCCCGCGTTCTGCCCGTGGGAGCAGTAAAGAGGATCTGTCACTGATTTCTTCCCCACTCGACGCCACCGGACCACCCTCCGTACACCCCCCAAGAGGGATGGATCGGTGTTGCGCGGGTACCAACTATTTTTTAATTATCCATCAAAAACCCCGGGCTCTGTCTCCCTCCTTCCGCAACGTATCCCAGCCGATCTCGAAATATTTAAGAGGCGATGGCGCGCCCGACGACGATTAAGGACGAGCCCCGAAAATCAAGAGAGCCGGCCTACGCTTCTTATTACCACTTTATCTGCAATTAACATTTATAACAACGGCCGCCACCGGTGCCACCTCGTGGAAAAACTAATTAAATATTCCAAGGAACTCTGGCAAAGAGACTGTGGCTGCCTGTCTTTATACGTGTATATATATAGGTATACAGAGGTGTGGCTTTTAATTAAATAGTTTTTCGACAAGCCCCCCCCCCTCCGCCTGAGTGTTATACGTATAATACCGAAAGAGGGAAATCAAGTACAAGGGCTACGCGTGGTGTACGAGGGTTTTCTTTTCGGAATTTTCCGGGGGAGCCCGGGATGATGGATTGGCCGGTGCGTACATTGGAAAGGCGGATGATGAGTCGAAACGACGCTGCTATTGTGACGTTTAACGATTTTTTTTTTTTTTTCCTTCTTCCCTTTTTGTCTCGCTGTCGAGCGCGTTATTAATTTAAAGGCCTCGTTACAAGCGTGTGGCCGAGACCCCGGGGTAATTTCAGCGGGTTTGCAATGTGTTTTTTTTTTCCCCTATGTTTCAACTTCAGGGGAGGGAGGTGTAATCAAATATCGATTGATTTTGCGCATACAACGAGCGCCGTGCGACTTGGACGCTGGACGTCCGGCGGCTGATTTTCCTTCCGGTCTCTGCGGTGAGCTCAAACTTTCGCCGTGAGAATGGTCCGTCGGGTATCCCCCGCGTACACGCATGGGCAATTTAGAGGCTCCATACCATACGTATTTGGGGTAGTATGATTATTAGGTGTACGCTGGGAGGTGCCATGGGCATTTATGCGAATAAGGGGCGATAAAAGAGGGCCGTAAAGCCTCTCTCTCTCTCTCTGTTCGTTCGACTTTGACGCGTGCGGGGACTCGATTTTATTGGGGCTAAACGTTAATTTAGCCGTTAAAAAGACCGAGCTCCCCGGCAACGGTGGGTGCATGGATGGTGCGAGAAACCCTCGCGTTATTTACAAGCCCGCGGTTAAGTGCAATAACTTTTATACCCTCTTGCTGTTTTCTATACACCTCTCCTTCGGATGTGTTATTATCTATATCCTCTCCTTATTCTGAGCTTTAATTTTTTCCTTCTTTTTTTTTTTCCACCCGAGTTAATCCAACCTGGAATTTTTATCCCCCGACGTCTCTTTCCAATTGATCAACGTTACGTCTCTGCCCAACGCGGTGAAATAAAATTTAATTGTGCCGGGCTTAAGTTTTCGTCATTTAATGGTTTCGATGTTATTTTGTGGATACTTTTCTTTCTCGTTGGTAATATATCTTTTGTCATAGTTGTTCAAGGAAAAAAAAAATTTCCCATCCGTCGGCGCTCGTCATTGATCTAGTAGAGTTACTTTTAGGTTCGTTGGGTAACTACTATGAAACGAACAAGTGTTTATTGAAAAACCTTTTTTTTTCCGCAAAAGTTGAATGAAATCGCCGAAAACCTGTCTTTTACACTCGCGACTTTAAACGACTTTTCAAAAACTATGAAAAAAAAAAAAGCTTTATCAAAGAAGTTTTTTCGAAAATCCACGAAACAAAGGACCGTTAATCCGAAAATCGGTGCGGAGCACTGCGCGAGATTGACTGATCCCGTGATGCTTGTACGCGTTTTCGTATGTTTTTGAAACTCACCTATTCAATGAAACACGCAGCTTTCAACGTGTTATTTGAAAAAAAAAAAAAAAATAAATAAATAAAAACTGGTATTTCACATGTACCATTACGAAACGTTTTTTATCGAGGAAATGAAAAAAAGTTAAAAATAAACGAAAACGTAAAAAAAAAAAAAGGGAGACGTGTTTTTTCGCCCGAAAGCATAAAGGTATTAAATTAAAACAGCAGTAAAAAAAAAGGAAAAAGAAAAGTGGAGCATCGTCAACTATAGACGAGGGAGTTTTATGGGCAGCATCGTTGAAAATTTTACTGCTCCAATTGGTCCGACAATTAGCGTCCAGAGCTTCTGTTGCACGTGTCCGCGAATGGAGGCCGATAAAGAGCTTTGGTGTAAAATAATTTCAGAAAAAGCTCGCCCGCCGCTGCGGCACAAAAGAAGAAAACAGAGGGGGGGGGGTGTATAATCCGCAGGTGCTTTTGTCCGAATCCGCAGTGCGACTGTATAAACACGCGATTGCCAGCCATAGCTACACTGTGGCCCCCCCTCGGTGGCGAGCTGGTTTTGCCCAAATTCCCCGAGTGGGTTTTAAAAAAGCCGGGAGTAGGAGGGGGGGGGGGAGAATGAATATTGGAATCGCGCGCTCGTCCGGGCCGCCGGGACAAAGTGGGGCGGATATTGAAATATGCTTTCGACGAGTGTCATGGAGCCGAGCAATGCGCTCGTTTCCTATACGTATATAACAAATCCGCGGCTGTGAATCGCTGCGATGCTCTTTTTTTTTTCTCCAGTCCAGCGTGTGCTCAACTATTGTAAAAATTTGCGCTGTTAAATCAACGCATTACGGGATCCCTGTGAATTCGCGCACGGACTTTGGCTAGGGATTTTTTTTTCCCAAAGAATCATCAGAATTTGAAAAGCGTCGCCCTACGTAAATTCAATCCAACGAAATTGGCTTTCAGTGACCCGTGGGGTGCGCTTTTTTCATACATATAAGCTTCGTCACTGCATGTGCCGACGAAAATTGCCTTTTTTTTCATACACGTACGAACATGTAACATGATATATATGTACATAATTTTATATATAATATGCATTATACAAAATGATAAATATTTATATGTATAAGATAACATTGTGCACAGAGTAAAGAGAGTTGGCAGCATTGCATGCGATAGTGCGTTAAGGAATGGAAGGTGCGATCAATAAAATCGGGAAGGCGATGGGTGACTTGTTAGCAGCAGCAGCGCGGCCCAATCAGATTGCACTCGATACGCAAATCGCCGAGTTAATTGGTTTCACGTTTGCAACGACTCGTATACGACATCAGGAGGGAGGGAGATAAGGACGAGATAAAAAGGGATTAATTTGTGCGTCCGTGCGTTCGAGAGCAAGAGAGAGAAAGACAGAGCAGGTGCGTGTAGGGTAAGCTTGGTTTTTGTGTGCCTCAAAGGTGGAGTAATGGAAATATTGTTATTCTCAAAAATGTTAAAAACAAAACGAAAAGCTGTGAGTAGGTGCGCCGCGAGGTGTCATTAGCATATACGTACAGCTTGGGAGTGCAGTGGTGTTAGCGATAAAACAGTTGCAGAGGAAAAAGTGGCTCGCACGACAACGAATTAAGAGAGAACAAGGCGGTGGTGGTAATGAAGATGGCTGGTGGATGATGGCCTACCTTGGTCGAGTGCAAGGCAGCGGGTGGTCTTGGCGGCGAGCCCCGGGGGCAGAGCGAACCTGTAGGCCGGGTTGAGCGACATCAGCCCGAGACCCAACGCCTCCGCGCCGCATCGGCCCCCGAACACATTACCCACTAAAATCACCCACACGACACACAACTTGTATCAGTCATCGGTCACCTCCGTACACATTTTACATTGCATTGCATTTTACATGGTTTTTTTTTTTTTTTTTTTTTNCCCACACGACACACAACTTGTATCAGTCATCGGTCACCTCCGTACACATTTTACATTGCATTGCATTTTACATGGTTTTTTTTTTTTTTTTTTTTTTTTTCATCTTAAGTCTACGTAAGTATACTACTGGAAAAATGCATTATATAGGTATATACATATAAACTAAAGATATTGAATAAAAGTTTGTCGCGTCCAACATCGAAGCGAGTGAAAAAGGAGAAGAGAAAGATAATGTGGTTTGTAAAGAAATTTACAAAAAACTGTGGTAAATGAGACTCGATGGATGTGGATGAATGTATAAAGGGGTTGCTCGTGTACGGTGTACAATTCGGTCGGTCCTGCAACTCATAAAACAAAGATTAGGTACACAACGTACATGGAGAGGAGAGAGAGAGAGAGAGCACAAAACATGTAATAATGAAAAAAATGAGAAGTAAGCACGTGAGTAGGTATGGGTATGCAAGAGGCGGGCAATAACATCGGCAAATGCACGATACAAGTGAAGGACACGCGCTCGAGGGCGGTTGATCTTCACAGCGAGAGTTTATACACAACGAGTTATTAATTTTGATTTCGAGGTTGGTATGTCGGCACAAGAGAGTATAATATATACCTACACGACAATTGCGTATGTATATATATATACGTAGGTGTACATATTTATATAGGGGGATGGTGGGTGTATCAGAGCGGCACGGCGTTTATCTCGTTGCGATATCAGAGTTCCCTGTTCGCTCGGCACCGGCTTTATTGTAGACACCGTAGACTCCGAGTATACCTATGTATACGTGTTGCACCTCCTCCCATTATACTTACGCGAGTTGACTTCCCGTATATTATCGGCTACTGACTTTATTGCTTTCTCTATACCCAACTTACATGCAGTGGCGATCGAGCCAGGCACGTGCCAAACTGTATGCCCTCTCTTTTTCTCTCTCAATCATTGGTCGATGATTTTTCACATGCCGCATCGGAGGTGGCCCCATCACGAGTTGTCGCGTCCCTTTGATTTCGACGACGATCAGTTGTGCGACGCGGCTCTTAAAGATAGGCATCGATCGGTTCGCTACTGTATACGCTCAAAGAGGGGGGGGGGCTCAATTGATGCGCCATTGCATTCATATTACAGGCATTTTGATGAGTAAACTGCTGATACAACGTTAAATAATAATAATATTACCCTAGAGCATTGAAGAAGCTTCTGCACGTACCAAAATGATCAAAATTAACCACAAAGAGCAAAAATTTGTAATTGCAATATTTAACGCATCTCTCGAATCGCCCAAGTGTAGCGCGGTTGCTTGCTTCTAACAAAGCCGGTGGTTCACTTAGGTATATTGTATACTCGCCGGTTGTAATTTACCGAGGGGGTATTATTTCTTCATCGATGCGTACTTCTAGTACAGGCACCGAAACGCTTCCAAAAAAAAAAAAAAAAAAAAAAAAACCCTCAAAACGGAGGAGCGCGAGCAAAGTGATAAATAAAATATGAGGATGCGCGGCCCGCTGTGAAATGTTTTTTGTCATTCGCTCCCAAGTATACATCGTATTTTTATAAGCGATACCGATTCGCCGAGTATAACGTAAAATGGTTGGTCGGGACAAAAGGTCCGCGCGCGACGACACCGCGGACTGGGCTCGCGGGCATATGGCACGTGAGCTCTGCGACGAAAGAGTATATATACACAAGATGAGTAGAGTTGCTGCTGGTGGATCGGATGGAGACGAAAAAAAAAAGTGCCTTTCGATGCAGTACGTACATGTATGTGGTAGTAAAGTTGGCGTAGGTATATATACACGGAAGGAGGGTATCGGAGAGTCGATGACAGCCGTAAAAGGCTGCTGATGCCGTTGGCGCTGCACCTGTGAAGAGCCATACCGGATGACAGGTTGTCCCCTTTCTCTGCGATCTTAATCTGAGCGAGGCTTTGGCGCAAAAAGGGCGTCTCGAGAGAATAATACAAGGGAGCCAAAGAGATACAGAGGACTAAGACGACGGATCCGTTTGAGCGGAGGATAGCTATATAGCACCGAGGAGGACACTTTGAATAATTCATCGGGCCAAACCCCTTTTCTCGGCTCACTCGTGCCGCCCTTCTCTCCTCTTCCTATTTTTCTTTCTTTTTTTTTTTCATTTGGCGCTACAGCTATGTATTGCTCGTTGTATATATATATATGTAATATATGCACTGCACAGGTTCAACAGGAGATGGACGTGCGCGCCGTGCAAGTGGGCAATTAACGGCCGGCCGGTGTTGCCGAGTAATTTCCGATTATCTCGAAAATCACGGCGAGCCTGCGGGCCCTCGGCCGGGAGGTGTGAGGCGCGCGTATATATATACATATATACACACGCGCGCGGGATCGACCAACACGAGTTGAGTTGCCGCTAATTAGCGCAAAGTGCCCCCAAGTGACGCAACGGCGCGTGTATCCTATATCCTACACTCCACTCGACGCACTCTTCTCTCCCTTCCCTCCCGGTTGGCCCTACGCATCTCTCCCAGGCCCACCGATGATTAGAATTGACAAAGTCACGGGCGCTTAGCGCCCACCCACGCGTCAACGCTCGTACACGCACGTATAACACAGTGGCTGGCTTCAATCACGCCTCGGAAGCGTTGGTTTAGTCCGGCGGCGCACTCCCCTGATGGCTATACCTTTATTTTTTTTTTCTTTTTTGGTTGTTTCAGATTTTGGTTCGCGTTAGCTATATATTTCATACCAATCAAAAGACAAAAGGTGATCGGCATTTGTATTATGTACGATCAACTACATTTTTTTTTTTTTTTTTTTTTTTTCCCCGGTCGAGGAAGAAAATAGTGGCAAGAGATATGATTGAAAAAAGTGGCGTAGGCTAAATTGAGGCATGATGACGCAGTGCACGTGTAATACATACACCTGATGCGTGTAAGAGGCAGAGGGGAGAAATAATACAAGCCAAAAGGCGGTGGTGGGAGAGAGAGACGACACCCGAGTTGGCCGAGAGGAACACGAGCCACTGGCTTGGATTGCGGCTAAGTTAACCGGCTCGGTACTCCGCACTCGATCAAATGAGCGCGTTATTATTATTATTATTATTATTACGTACACACATATACGCAAGCTAAACACACACAAAATTCAAGTCCACCTGCTGCAGCGGCAAAATAATCCGTGTGTCAGTAAGGTATAGGTGCATGGTATACATATAATATGATACTATGTGCCACGTAGGACCAAAGTATAATGTACATGCCTCTCTTTATACGTATACGTCATTTTTGTATACACAAGCCATGTGTGTGGGCGCATAGGTGTATATACTGCATCGGGTATCTGCACGTGGGAGAGTTGGTGGACGCAAAAGCTGAGAAGCGTTTGTCGCGGTAATAGGGTGGCGTTGATAGATTTCGGCCATCGATTCGACTATCGTCCTTCCGGCCACGCGCGACGACTCGTATATATGTACCGATGGTGTTGCACATCGATGTATCGATCCGATGTGCCCGCGCGCATTTCGTCCCAGTCCGGAAACGAGTCCGACGCGCTGCTCGTACGTATAATGGCCCTTTGCTACTACTCCCCGGCTAATCAAAGCCGATGCCGAGGCCATATTATATACACGGTGTGGGGGCGCGAAAAATAAGCCATAGTCCTCCCACGAGTCCTTCAAAGCTAAAAAAAAAAAAATCATTTTTTTCCCCACTTTTAGAAAAAACGGTCCTTCAAAAAGAAAAAATTGTTAAATAACCATTATTTCTCTTAATTATGCCCTTTCGAGAAAAATAAATAAATCTTACAATATTCTTGATCATTGGAGCCAAAATGAGCAGACATAGTTGTCAGTTCCCTCAGTTGTATATTTATTTCAAAATTTACAAGCTCGCAAAAAAAAAAAAAAAATAAAATAAAAAAAAATAAAAAAATAAAGATAAGTCAGAGATACCTGTACGAAGGAACCCGGAGGCGGCACTGCATGTGCCATGAACCCTGATAGAGAGCGAGCGAGTGAAAAAGTGTGCACTCGCCGAGGAGGTAGGTACGAGTAGGTACTCGTCGCAGACTGCACCGGCGAGTTGGCGTGCGCGAAAGGATAGCCAAAGATTCTCAGGCCGTTCATGTTTCAGGCAGCAGGTTGATATTACATACAGAGAGAGAGAGAGAGCCGTCAGGCGGACCAGCCGGCTGGCCCTCGGATGATGGGCCTCATCACGGCAACGTCAGCGATATTGTTATAACACACACACACACACAGTCGTGGTTTCGCGTCCGGCCGCTCCGGGGCTTCACCGCTGTCCTCCTCCTCGTCCTGCACCTATTTACACCCCCTCCTCTATCTCTGTTCCTTGCATCTAATATACACACGTTGCACGTAATACGTATGGTCACCCCACTTGTGCGTAAATACACCGTGTCCCTCTTGCTCTTGTTTCTCCTTGGGCCCGTCAATGTCTTCATTGTCCGAGCGTGAGAATTCCTTCTCCGCGGCATGTGCCTCCTTCTGCAAAAGCACCCCGTAATTGTGGACTCCGGAGCGAGCGTTTTAACTCCCCCCCCCCTGCAAGGCTCGGCAAGAAGAATTTCCTTGTTAAGAGAGGCTAAATCGACGCATTTGCGCATATATACGTGTACCGCTTCGTTCGATTACCCGTACAGATTTTTCTCCTCCCTCCCTCCCTCTTTGGGGATTGTATTTATTGCACGGGAACAGATGCTGCGTTCATGGCGATGAATTATATACCCAATAATGCAGCGCGGGAGTATTGCGGCCGATCGACACCTTATACGGTATAATGTCTCAAGGATCGGTGATGGCCTGCCCGCCCGTGACATTTGACGAGCGAGCGAGCGTACGGGCTTGTGGTAATTATATGGAATTAAAATCATCCGTGTGCACGTAACGCGCGCCCGT